GTATTGGTTTCATAAAGGCTCACCAGAAACCAAGAAGCAGGAGAATGAGCTAAGTGACATAGAGATGGGGGAATGAGATACTATTTCTACTCTTATTAACAACACAAAAATTAAAAACCCTAATTCCTCCTTTACCCTTTGAGGCAAAGTGATCGGAAAGAACGGGAAAGTGATCCAGGAGATTGTGGATAAGTCTGGTGTGGTGCGGGTTCGTGTGGAAGGTGATAACGACAAGAAGAATCCCAGGGAGGAGGTATGGGCATATCGGCCTAGAGGTTGGTTTACAGAAGTAGGACATATTGTTTTCTGAGGGATGGGAATTTCTAGGGGGGTGGACCACAGAAACTTGATTGCCATTTCTTACTCTTTTTTTTTTGGCAAGGAAGTTTGTTTGAGACACGGTCTCCTTGTCACCTCAGCTGACTTGGAACTTGCTATGTAGACTAGGTTGGCCTTGATCTCCAGCCTAGTAGAGATCCACCTGCCTCCCAAGTGCTGGGATTATGTGTGCCATCATCATACCTGACTCATTTCTAACCTTTCTTTTGCTCTGTTCTTCAGGGAATGGTTCCTTTCATATTTGTTGGCACCCGAGAGAATATCAGCAATGCCCAAGCGCTGCTGGAGTATCACCTGTCTTACCTGCAGGTAGCCATGCCCAAAGCTGGGATGCCAGGATAGCAAGGGGGCAAGGGCTGCTAGTATATAATCTTTGAGACTTGTGTGCCTGGCTTGTCTCTTTGGATATTTTTGGCCCTGGGGCTGAATCTCAAATTGTCATTGTTCAGCCTTTGTCTTCCTTCTTGCAATCCTGAGAACTTAGTTACACACAGACCATCAGGATAGAGAAGCATAAGGGAAGGGGATGTACACTCATCTTAATCCTCTCTCTTCCATCTTTCCAACCAGGAGGTAGAACAACTTCGCTTGGAGAGACTACAGATTGATGAACAGCTTCGGCAGATTGGGTTGGGCTTTCGCCCTCCTGGGAGTGGACGGGGTGGCAGTGGTGGTGGCAGTGACAAGGCTGGCTATTCCACAGATGAGAGCTCCTCCTCCTCCCTGCACACGACTCGAACCTATGGGGGCAGCTATGGGGGCCGGGGCCGGGGCCGGAGAACTGGTGGTCCTGCCTATGGTAAGAGCTGTAGGGGCAGTGGAGGAGGTAGATGTTTGGGTGGAAGCTTGGGGAAAGCCATGAGTGGGGTATGGTGGTAGATCCTAGAGCAAGACCAGAAAATCCTTCCTGTGCTTCAGGCCCCAGCTCAGACCCATCTACAGCTTCTGAGACAGAGTCAGAGAAGAGAGAGGAGCCTAATCGAGCAGGGCCTGGGGACCGAGATCCCCCAAATCGTGGGGAAGAAAGCCGGAGGCGGCCAATTGGGGGCCGGGGAAGGGGACCCCCACCTGTCTCCCGGCCCACCTCAAGATACAATTCTTCATCTATTAGTTCAGGTACCAGAGAGCTGGGGTCATGAATCTGGGCCAAAAGGTTAGATGGTAGTCATGTGATTCTCAATGCCTTTCTTTTCTCTCACCAGTGCTAAAGGATCCAGACAGTAATCCCTACAGCCTATTGGACACATCTGAACCAGAGCCTCCAGTTGATTCAGAGCCTGGTGAGCCCCCTCCAGCAAGTGCCCGCCGTCGCAGATCCCGCCGACGTCGTACTGATGAGGACAGAACTGTCATGGATGGAGGCCTGGAGTCTGATGGTCCTAATATGACAGAGAATGGCCTGGGTGAGGAGCGTGCCCAGATTCTGAGACATGGACATGGGAAAGAATGAGGGATGAGAGGTGGGTGTATGACTTGGTTTTCTTTACTCCACAGAAGATGAATCAAGACCCCAGCGTCGTAATCGTAGCCGCCGCCGCCGTAATCGTGGTAACCGGACCGATGGGTCTATCAGCAGAGACCGCCAGCCAGGTTAGCTGACATTACATTGCAGGCCAGGAGCCCTCCTGGAGCTGAGAACGGGATGCCTCATGCTGTAGGAATACCAGGGTTGGGTTCGTGGGAGCCCTGGAGCTGGATACCTGAGTTTCTGAATGTCTTGATCCTCTGCCTTCCCCAGTGACTGTGGCTGACTATATCTCACGAGCAGAGTCTCAGAGCCGTCAGCGGCCACCTCTGGAACGCACTAAACCCTCAGAGGATTCTCTTTCAGGACCGAAGGTAGGCAAGCAAGATGCAGCTTACTCTACTCCTTTTGTTTTTTGAAACAGGGTCTCACTATGTAGCCCTGGCTGGCCTGGAACTCACTCTGTAGACCAGGCTAGTTTCAAATTTAAAGAGATCCACCTTCCTCTGCTTCCTGAGTGCTGGGATTAAAGGTGTGTGCCACCAAGCCCAGCCTCCACTCCATTTTAAAAATTCTGGGGGCAGGGGGCACAGATACAAGAAATATCTGAGTTGTTGATCTGGTTGTGTCTGATAAAAGAGTTTAGATTGCACTGAGAATAGAGCAGAGCTGGCGCAGAACAGAAGGCCTGACTCAGGGTAGAGCAGGGAGCAAGCAGCCCCTGATCACCAGGTATGAGTATAGTGGAAAGGAGTGCCTTCACCTGGTGTGCTGATGAACTGCTTTCCTTCCATTTTTCCTCTCAGGGTGACTCTGTCAGCAAGCATCCCAAGGGCCCCTCGGAGAACGGGGAGCTCTCTGCCCCCTTGGAGATGGGTAGTTTGGTGAATGGGGTTTCATAAAACCTCCAGCCCACATCCCTCCTTTCTCCATCTCGCTTGCTGCCCACCACCATGGCCCTCATGGGTCTAACTGACCTGCGCTGGAGCTGCTCTTATCTATGGGGGAGGGGGGTGGCACAGCAGCTTGGGTCCCCCCCAACCTCCAGGAGCTAGTGGAGGGGTGTGTAACAGGGTCATACCCCCCCCTTGTCCACCCTACCCCAGGGTAAGGGGAGCCTCCCCTTCCCCATCAGACTGGATGTGCCTTTATCCTCTAATGCCCCAACCTCTGAACACCCCCATTCTCCACCTGTTGGTGGGGGTGCTCCTTGACCCACCCAGATTTGACAGTTCAGGGGGGCTCCCCTGCTATCCCTCCTCCCATCCTGTACCCCCCATTTCTGGGGCCTCATCACTGTGGAAGATTGGGATAGTAAGGGTATCTGTGGGTGGGAGGCATGGGGAAGGTTTTGGAGTAGAACCAGGGGTGTGTATGAAGGGGGGTGACAAGGTCCCCCAGGGGGTGGGAGGGTCTTAACCTTGTCTGGTGGATGAGAAGGCGTATTTATTTTTCACTGTACAGTATTTAAAAAGAGAATAAAAAAAATCCAAATGGCCCAATGGTTCCTTGTCTTCTTTGTCCCCAGCGTGGTGGTCCATTTGAATCTCTGGGACTGGCCTGCCCTGGTCCCTGGCTCTTGTTCTCTATCCCTTACACTTCTCTTTCTGTGTCAGGAAGATGGTATTCTGGGAATTCCAGACCCAGGTACTCTTCTGGTCCAGAGGACTGCTTCAGGCCTTGCTGTTTCTTCCCTCCCCCTGGTTGCTGATAGAGTTGGGCCACTCCTATGCCTTGAGTCACAGGAGACTAGGCAGGGCTGCTTGAAGCTGAAGCAGAAGGGGAAATAGAGTTCCCTCATCACAGCCTCTGGAACCCAGGAGGTCACCTTTTATTTCTGGCCTATGTGTCTCTGGCTCCAGAATCCATCCACATCACTGATCTCAGCTTTTGGAATCAGGGTTCCAAGGGTGAAGATGTAGTAGCCTATTGGGAGACTTCAGGCCTGAGCCTGTGAGGAGCTGGAGAGGGCTATGGGTTGGAGATAACTTGTAGGAGGATGTCCTGAATGCTGTTTCAAAGCTGTGACCTTAACCAATAACTTGGGTCCTTAGGAAGTATGTATCAGGGCTGGCAAGATGGCTCACCAGTGAAGGGTACTTGCCAAGACTGATGGATGATCTGAGTTCAGTCCTGTGGTGGAAGGAGAGAACAGACTCCCAAAGATTGTCCTCTGACCTCCACTTGTACACTATGACACTTGTGTACACACACACACACACACACACCAAGAAAAAAAAGAAAGCCTTCATTTTTAAACCGTATCTCCAAGTCCAGACTTCTTTCTTGGCCCCCTCCTCCTACCTTGGGTTTAAAGATGAAACTGGTCATAATTTAGTGGCAGTAGAGAAATTTGATGGGGGTTGGAGGTACGGCCTTAGTTTTAGTTTTCTCATCTGGAGAATAACCTCCCAGGCACCTGCTGGAATGACTCAGGAAACAAAAATGGACTACCTCCCTTCGAGTTTCTTGCCTCAGGGACAGGTCAGGGGTTTGAGGAGCAACAGATGCCGGAAAAGGATTTGAGTGGGGAGTGAGACCTTCGTAGGGTCTCGCAGCTTGACTGACCCTGAGGGCATATGATGTCCCTGCTTGATCCCATTGTGGAAAGGAATTTACTTGAAGCAGGTAGCTTGAGAAGGGACAATTGTAGCCACTGGGGCTAGAAGGCCTGACTTTCAGGCTTAGGGTGGAGAGGGGGGCGTGGTGCCCTAGGGGAGGTGTCGGGACTCGGAAGAACAGGACACCTGGGTTTGCCTACGGGGAGAGGGATGTTGGCGCAGCCTCTGGGAGGGATTGGGGAGGAGTCACGCTGTAAAGGCTGTTGGTAAAAGCTGTTTCGCAGACGCAGAGTACTGGTGGGGAAGGTCTGTAGCACCTGGGCTGTGCTCTAGGCAGCTGCCGGAGCTTTGGAGACCAAGAACCCCATAGAACTAACGGCACAGGGTGGAGAGAGGGTCTGGCGGCAGGTAGACTTAAAAGCGCAAACCTCCAGGACAGGGGTGCCTCCAGAACAGGAGTGCCAGGCCCGGCGGATTCTACATCCAGTTCTCGAAAGGTGACGAACTGCTTGGGAGCAAAGTTTCGATTCAGGGACTCCGGACTTTTAAGTACCCAAGTTTCTTCAATTTTGAGTTCCATCTTGACTTTGAGAGGGCATTCAGGTGCCCACTTCCAGAGGCTTTACCGCCAACCCATGGCGCTGCCCGGCTCCCCGCAGGCCCACCCTTGGAGCCTGGAGCCTCCCGCTCCCACAGCTGCAATCTGTTTGCCCTCTGGACCTCGGGAGCAGGAGGGTGCCCGGAGCCCGGGGGCGTCCGCCGGACTGCCGCTCGAGAAAGTGAAGCGGCCCATGAATGCCTTCATGGTGTGGAGCTCTGTTCAGCGCCGCCAGATGGCGCAGCAGAACCCCAAGATGCACAACTCTGAGATCTCGAAGCGCCTGGGCGCGCAGTGGAAGCAGTTGGGCGACGAGGAGAAGCGGCCCTTCGTGGAGGAGGCCAAGCGCCTGCGCGCCCGCCACCTGCGCGACTACCCTGACTACAAGTACCGGCCCCGGCGCAAGACCAAGAGTTCCGGCACCGGCTCTACACACTTCAACCCGGGAACAAGCGGCTTGGCCTGTGGGGGCCCGCACTGGGGGCCGGGATACACAGCCACCCAAGGGAGTAGAGGCTTTGGGTACCAGCCCCCCAACTACTCGACAGCCTACCTGCCTACCAGTTACGCGTGAGTGCCTGGGGAATGGGGTGAAGGACGCTTATCCCCCCTCTTCATGTTGCCCTGGGTGGGAATGGATGCCAGAGGGCCAGGTTGGAGAACCCCAGCCCATCCAAGCAAAAACTATACCAGGCAGAGGTTGTGCGGGAAGGCCCTGAGGGCCACAGGCTTTTCCACCTCAGCCGGCCGGCTGTGTTCTTCTTACTGGGATGCCCATCTCCCCCTGCTGCTGGCCCGTGTGTGACCCGGCTTCCTCTCCCAGCCCCGGGGGCAAGGAGAGGCCAATCCCATCCTGCTGCTCCTTCCTGGCCAGCTGCCCCAAAAGAGGAAAACAGCACACCAGCACGCAAGCCGGCTCTTGAGCGTGCCCCGACAGAGCTGCCCTGCTCTTTAAGCCATCCTAGGGTCTGGTTCCATGCCTGCCATACATGGCTGGCTTGGTAGCAAGTTCTAACCCTGTCAGCCCCAAACTGGTCAGACCAGTCCCCCCATGAGCTGGGGACACTGCCCAATCTCTCCAACCCAGGGAAGTAACCCCCATGTTTCTCTTTGCAGCTCTTCCCACTGTAGACCGGAGACTCCCTCACCATGCTCCCTCCCTCCGAGTGATCCTAGGCTCCAGGGGGAGCTGATACCCCCTTTTCCCCCCTACCTACCCCCAGGTTCTCCCACTCCATACAACACTCCCCTTGCTGGTGCCCCCATGCCACTAACACACCTTTAACTGGCAGGGACTTGGGCTTCCTGGTAAGGGCCATAGCCTTCCTCATCCAGGACCAACCCCATAGCCCCAGGCAGAGCCGGTCCTTTCCAGTGTTGGACCACAGCCAGAGGCCTATAGACCTACAGATACAGAATGCACAAAACAACACTAAACACAGTTTTGTACAATTAAACCATGTCTCTCTTGAGTCTTTATTGTCCCATCTGTGTTCCCCTCACTGCAGCAGCAGCCAGTGCCATCTCCACTCCTTTCTGCCTGGACTTGTCACAGCAGGTACCTCCTCACCCCACCCTGGGGCCCTGCCTGAGTCATTCTGTCCCCCTCCCCCACTCCCAGTACTGGGGTCCAAAAAATAGCCCCAGCCAGCGGGGAGAGGAAGCAGCATCAAGTCCCTACTTCCATCCAACTCTTTATCCAGGCTGTGTCCTAGGACCAGAAGGAAAGTGAGTGGACAGGGCAAGGTATCTGGCCCAATAAGGAGAAAGTTGCTATAGAGAAAGGGATCTCAGCCAAATAAATGGTGAAATGAGCAACTAGTAGAGGAAAAGGACTTTAGAAAAGCTTTACTATTTCCACAAACCCTGGCTCAGGAATTGCCATTGTAGAGGAATGGAAGATGGGTAAGTCAAACCGGAAGGCTGGGTCATGTGGGAGGACCCTGATGTACGTGGATCAATGGAATGAGTCTAGTAGCTGGCTCAGCTCTACTGTTCCTTTTTCTGCTTGTGGGCAGGCTTGGCATTCCAGTAGAAGAGAACCTGGGCAGCAATGAGGCCATTGCAGAGGGAGGAGACCACGAAGACTCCAGCCATCAGGGGGTCTCCAGTTTCCTGATTGTGAGAAAGGGCAAAGCTCTAGAAAAGTTCCTTTAGAGGAGCAGATTTAATCCTCAGCCGAGGTGAGGCTTTAGTGCCCTCTAGAGGACAGAAGGTGCACTCACCTGAATGGAGGTGAAGATTCGGGCCAGGGAGCCTCCAAACAGCAGAAATACTGTGATGGCTGAAAGCTGGCCTGTGTGCCCATTATGGTAGTTGGTGGCTGCTTGGAGCAGCTAGGGGAAGAAGTTTAGACAGTTGGTTCTGCGAACCTTCCCCATGTTCTCACCACTGATTTCTTCATTCCCCTCCTTCTAGCATCCCTTTGAGATTCCACTCTGTTCTTTCCCTTCCCAGTACACACCTTCCCCATCACCACAGCAGGCACATTGGAGGCCTGGAGCAGGGTGACTACAGCCAAAGGTGTGAGTGATGAAAGCAGCACCAGCAGGACCAGCGCATAGCAGGCGAGAAAAGCGACTCCTGGGGGTCAGGGAGACAAGGAGCCCTCTTGAACCTCCTTGTGTCCTCCAGCTTCCCCAGGCCTGAGTTCCCAACAAGGTTCCCCAGTACCTTTCACAGTCTCTCCTCTGTAATGCATGACCAGGAAGCAGATGGTGATTGTCTGGAGTGTCAGGAACAGGGCTTCACCCCAAGAGCTGCAGAGTCAAGAGTTGGGAGGAAGAAAACAGGCCTGGAAAGAGGCAGGGAAAGCCTCCATAGCCCATCCATCAGGGACACAGTTCTCTGATTAGCCTGTGCTCTGTAACCCACAGCTCCCACCTGTGATTGATTCATTTGGGAATATGGACATTACTGAGATGCTCACTTCAGCCACGTGTGGTGGCACATGCCTTTAGTCCTAGCACTGGGGAGGCACAGGCCATCAGATCTCTGAGTCTGGAAGGACTAAAGCTTTCTTATCCTTTTTCCTTTTCCACTTTAATCTCCATCAGAACTGTGGGCACTGGAGTCAGCCAGGTAGCTCGGCAGGTAAAGGTGCTAGCCACCAAGTCTGATGACCTGAATTCTATCCCCAGGACCCACATGGTGGAAGGAGAAAACCAACTCCCATAGTTGGACTCTGACCTCCAAATATCACCATGGCATGAGTACCTCATCCCCCATCAAATACATTAATTTCAAAATATTAAAAGAAGAATTGGGCATGAAGAGTGGGTCCCTCACCTGAAGGGAAAGTTGTTGGTGATGCTGTAGACCATGGTTCCAGTCAATGCCACCAACTCCAGCATTACTGACTGGAGACTTAGTCCTTCTGCACTCTTGGCCCCCAAGATTTTAAATATCTGAGGCAGCTTTACTGAGGAAAGGATTAGAGAAGAGTAGGGATGAGAAAGTAGCTCCTTCCCCCAACTCTTGGCCAGCACAATAGAACAGTTATAGAAGAGACATCTAAGCATAGTGTATTAGCTCCTCAACACCCCAACCCTTATTCTGACAGCAGGAAGGAAAGATACATACCAAGAAGTGACCCAGCCACAATTCCCAACCCGAGGCCTTTGCTCAGGAGAATCTTGAGGCAGGGAACTGAGAAGAGAAAAAAGTAAGCAAAGAGGCCTCTAGAACCCAGGCCACAGTTTTAAGTGCTCTGACAGGCTGTTCCGTTCTCCCCACCTTAGTATGACCACATAAGTAAGCCTCCAACTGGGGAATGGAAGGGGTGACTGGGAAAAAAAAGTCCTTCCTGCCATAAACCTTTCACATTCAGACTAGGTATATGCCAAAACAGCTTCTACCTTAATGTCCATCTTCCCATCCAACCTTTTTGTTTTTTGTTGTTTTTTTTGTTTTGTTTTGTTTTTGTTTTGGTCTTTTTGAGACAGGGTTTCCCTATAGCCCCGACTGGCCTTGAACTCACAGAGATCCACCTGCTTCTGCCTCTGGAGTGCTGGGATTAAAGGTGTGTGCCACCACACCCAACACAACAACCTTCCCTTTCTTATAAACATCTAGCTGGGTGTGGCAGGCAAATCTCTTGAGTTTGAGGCCAGCCTGGTTTACATAGACCCTGTCTCAAAAAAAACCAAACCACCAACCAAAATAAATATCTAAATTTTAGGGCTGGCAAATTGTTGATGACCCGGTTCAATCTTAGGGACCCACATGGTGGAAGAAATGAATCAACTCCCAAAGGCTATCCTCTGACCTCCACATACACACCATAGCCCTTGTGCCCCACGCCCAGCCAAATAAATAAAAATGTAAAATTTTAATGTATTTCAATTTTATTTAAAATTTTTTTTTAATATTTTATTTTCATTTTATATATGTATGTGAGTGCCGCGGAGGTCAGAAGAGGGCTTAGGATTCTCCTGGAACTGGAGTTAAGGACGGTTCATAGCTGCCATGTGGGTGCTGGGAATCGAAGCTTTAAGAGTTTGACCAAGCTGATTTTGGTCATGACACTATTTTCTTTTGGGGGGGAGGGGTGTCTTTTTGAGACAGGGTCTCCCTGTAGCCCCAGCTGTCCTGGAACTCACCATGTAGATGAGGCTGGTCTTGAACTCACAGAGATCCGCCTGCCTCTGTCTCCCAAGTGCTGGGATTAAAGGTGTGAGCCACCATGCCCAGCTATTATTTTTATTTATATATATGTGTGTGAGTAAATGCTATGTGTGTGGTGGTGGTAGTGATGGGGTGTTGCCTGTGGAGTCCAGAAGAGGGTGTAGGAGCCTTTAGAGTTAGAGTTACATACAGGTGGCTGTCATCTTGAAAACTGAACAGGTGCTCTAGAAGAGCATCCAGCCCTACTAAAAAAAAACTGTAAAATACATTAAGGGCCCTGGCAAAACACTCACACAAAATAAATTTTGCCAGGCATGGTGTTGCACACCTTTAGTCCCAGCAGGCGGATCTCTGTGAGTTCAAGGCCAGACTGGTCTACATAGTGAGTTACAGGCCAGCTGGGCCTATAGGGAGACCATCTAAAAAGAGACCAATAAATAATTAGTTAAGTAAAATTAAGTAAAAATAAATTAAAAAATTATTGGGCTGACAAGGTGGCTCAGTAATGGTCTGAGTTCAATTCCTGAGACCCACATGGTAGAAAGAGAAAACTGACTCCTGAAACTTGTCCTCTGACCTCCACATGCACTCTATGGTATACATTTGTACATGCATAAATAATAAATGTAAAAAATAAATTATGTATACGGCACAGCAAGTGTGGAGGTCAGAGGAAAACAAATTCCTTACAACTTTACATGGGTTCCAGGAAATGAACTCAGTACCTTTAACCACTGAGCCCTCTCACTGGCCCCAAATAAATATCTAAACCCTTTGGCCTGTCATTGCTTCTGAGTAACACATGGTGGGGAGAGGGAGGCAGCTAAATATTTTTTTTTTGGTCTTTTTGAGACAGGGTCTCCCTGTAGCTCCAGCTGGCCTAGAACCCACTATGTACATCAGGCTGGCCTGAACTCACAATGTTCCTCCTGCCTCTGACTCCCAAATGCCAGAATTAAAGGCATGCACCACCACACCTAATTGCTAAATGCTTTATTGGGGGGGGGGGGCTTTTTGAATCAGGGTCTCCCTGTAGCCCCAGCTGGCCTGGAACTCACTATGTAGACCAGGCTGGCCTTGAACTCACAGAGATCTGCCTGCCTCTGCCTTTTTTTAAATTCATGTATTTTACGTGATTGTATGTATATAATTTTATGATTTATGTAATTCAGTGTTTTGCCTGCATGTACGTAAGAGGAGAGCACTGAACCCCCTAGAGTTCAGATAGTCCTTAGTTGCCATGTGAGTGCTGGGAACCACTGAACCTATATTCCCCTCTGCTTGCTTTTATCCCTGCTTATTCACCACTTCTCTATCACTGAAGCCTTAACCCAGGAGGAACTTGGGCCAGTGGTGTCTGACTCTCAGAGGTCAAAATGTGCCAGACCAAAAAAAAATAAACCCCTCACACAGACACACACAAAGTCGGGCATGTACACCTTTAATCCCAGCACTTGGGAGGCAGAGGCGGCTCGTTCTCTGTGAGTTTGAGGCCAGTCTGGTCTATACATTGAGTTCCAGCCAGCCAGGGCTACACTATAAGACCCTGTCTCAAAAACAAAAATACAAACAAAAACAAAGCAAACAAATGAAGAGACTAGGCATGGTGGCAAAAGCCTTAAATCCCAGCACTGGGGAGGCAGAGGCAGGACCTTTGTGAGATCAAGGTTAGCCTGGTCTACATATACAGTTCCATGCCAGCTAGGGCTACAGGGAGACTCTGTCCCTAAAAACAAAAAAAAAAAAGTGCTAGAATGAAGTCCTCTGGGAACTGGAACCCACTGAGGCAGATGGAGAAGGCTTCCCAAAGGCTGAGTCTGATGTGAGCCCTGGCCATGAGCTGCCTTGATGCGCTGCCTTGTGGAGAAAAAGGAAGAGAGCAGGATGTGACAGCTTATTCCTGTCTTCCCAGTACTCTGGTGGCTCAGGTAGGACTGTTGCCCATTCAAGACCAGCTTGTGCTACATAATAAGTTCCAGGTAAGTCTGGGCTACAAAATGAGGCCCCTGTCTCAAAAAAAATCAAACCTACCCCCAAAAGGGGCAGGGGAGAAGACAATTATCCCTAAATTGTACCTGGAGCCAATGACCTGAAACAGCAGCCACTGGAATGGCAAGAGCCTTTGGGACGTCCTAAAGGCCTGATTTATCTGAATTAAAGTTAATTTTGCTAGCAACCTAATAATGAAGGCTGAAATAATTTGATTAGATTTTTGTTTCATAAAACGTAAACCTTCTGCGTTGGAGATATAGTTCAGTTGGTAGAGTGCTTGCCTTACATGCATCAGGCCCTCGGTTCAATCCCCAGCACCAGAAAAATTTAAACAAAGATGAGGTGAGCCTTCTCTTGTAAAGCACAAACTTGGCTACTTGCCCCCGGCGACTGCCCCCTCATGCCCAAATATGGAGTCTTCCCTACTCAGGGCCCAACATACTTCCGCCCTCTTCAGAAGCGCCTTCCGTCCAGCCCCGGATGGCAATAGCCACCTCAGTCACTTAGTCACTTACGGTCCAAAGTCGTTCAAACAATACTTTGGAAACTGAATAAAACTCACCATGAAGCAAGTCCCACTGAACAAAAAGCCGATCGTAGCATTTCTCTGGTAACAGAATCGGCACCAGCGCCTTCTTGAACGGCCCATCTACCTCCGCCGCCATGCTGGAAAGCAGTCTTCCGCCAGTATCGGTAGCCCGCCATTGACCTACGCTGCGCATGCTCGTTCCAGACTCCCCCGCCTCTTCCAGCAGCATGGCTCTCTTCCCCCGCCAACACCAGATCTCTGGCGGTTCTAAGAAACGTCTTCTTCACAGCCCTTGCCTACATGCCCTAGAGGCTTAAAGCCTGTCAGGTTAGGCCTTCCGCTTCTTTGTTTACACTTTCAAGAATGCAAGCTTTTCCCTTCCTCCGTTCTCCGCCCTCCTTGCACACACGCCATCTTGTCTCTCAGCCAACCTTGTTATTTGAAGTTGAGAGAAAAGTAGTACAAGCCCCAAAATGGCGCTAGTGTGGACGCCATAGCGCTCTTATCGTCCCTTCTAGGCTTTTCCAAAGGCATGGCTCCGGAAAGTGGCTAGTCCCGCGCATCTCTCCTTAGCTGCTGCTTCTCCCTGCTGGTTCGTCCAGGTGGTGGAAGGTGACCATGAAGCAGGCTGAGAATGGGAGCTCAGGTGAGGGAGCGCAGAGACTGCAGCCTCGGCGACAACCCAGGGGGCGGTCGGAAGGCAGGTCAGAGCTAGGTTTTGGGCGCCGAATATCTGTAAGATATCTGCGTCACCCCGAGAGCTCCGCCGCGCTCCCGCTGCCATCCAGCACCGGGACACCGACCCCGGTGCACCGACCTGATGGAGGTGCACTTGCCCATCAGGCTGTGGAGCACCCCTAGGTTGTCTCCCTGCCCCTAATTCGGGGGGGGGGGGGCCTGTTGCGGGGGAGGTGGCCACCGAGGATTTCTATAACCCTATGGGGCTCATGCAACTTGAGGGGCACTCATCCTGCACACTCATCAATCCTAGAGGGTTGCACCATGCCCTACTGTATAGAGTAAAACTTGTACTTGATGTAGGTGCGGGTGGTGGCTGTCGGGAAGTCCCCTTTTAGAATCTGTATATGAACGGCCCTGCAAGTGACACCACCTAACCCCCTCCCCCAGTACCTTGGCATCAAGGGTTTAGTGGGCTTGAAGCTGTTCCCAGTGGCACAACCTTCGTGGAAGTAGGAAGACCCACTACTCCAGTGATTGACACAGTTCTTTGGTTCTTCAGGGTGTGTAGTCCTGGCCACAGTGGTCAGGGAATTTCATTGCTTGGGCGCCAAGGAGCCACTGGCATTGCCTTTTGAAATGAAATCACACAGCCATTGCTCATTGCTTTGGCTACTGTACCTCTAGCTGTTATGAGGGTCAGGAACAGGATGCCAGGACATACTGATCCACTATGTTGGGAGAATTGGCAGCCATTAGCCCCAAGAGTTAGGAAGTTTTGGTAGTTTCACCACCGGTTGTGCCAGGCATTAAGGGACAAACCCATGAGGACATCTGGTCATTCATTGGTATTTTCATCCCTTCTTGCCAGCTGTCTTTGGCTTAACCATAGGAAGGCACAGAAAAGCATGTGATAAGAAACTCATGACTTTTAATCCTGGCAGGACAAGGGAAATCAGGAAAGATTTCAGTAAGCTTTAATACACTTCATGAAGAGGAGGGGGAAACATTTCATGTTAAATAAAAATTTCATTACAAAAATCTCTAGTTTGCTCTTAAAGACAGGGAAAGAAGACAACTTTGTTCTTTGAGCCAGTTGCACAATGGAGAGACCAGAGTGCCTCACAGGTTGTGTTGGAGCAAATACTCAGAGGGGCTGGTAGGCTGATTGTCGTCTCCGGGCAATGCAGAAGGCGATGAGCACCAGGGTGAGGAGGCCAAGGAGGACCAGGCCAATGATGAGAGGCAGCCAGAAGGACTGGTCATTGGTGCAAGAGAAACCTGGCGAAGATAGGACAAGTAGGCAGGGCTGCAGTGGTCGCTGGGGTAAAGGTGGGAAGAGGGAGGACATGGGATGAAGAAAGGAGCTCGTGGGTGCAACCCATGACTCAAGAGCAGTAATAAGAGGAAATGGGCAGCTGCCAGTGGCCATGATAACCTCAGTGAAGTAGGGAATCTGGAGTTTAGAAAGGAAGCTGAGGAAGAGGCTTCCAGTGCAGTGGGAAGGTTCTAGGAGGGAGGAGGTAGGTAGGTCTTACTTGGCCCAAAGACTCCTGTGTGGGGCAACTGAGAAGCCTGTAGTCTCAGGGAGAGCAGGTCAAGGTGAATAGCTGGAGAAAGAACTATGCTTGAATTTCTGCAACTGAAGCTCTGGCCTAGGGGAGCTTGGAGATCTCGAAGGGATGAATTCTGAGCCAAGAACGTCCACTCTGAAGTGGAAATGAAAAGTCAAGTCCAATCCACTCCCCATTCCCAGTTTAGTCCCTTCAGAGCCCAGATATCTAGTGCTAATAGCAGTTAAGACATCACTCACGTGTTGCCTGTGGGAAGGACACATTGTATTCCACTGCCAGGTAGTTGAGATAGACTACACTCTGGCTTTGTTCCAGATCCTGGAAGGTGAACAGGAAGGCTCAGTGAAGCAGAGGGAGTGGCATCCATGTCCACAGAGTAAGGAGAAAGGCATATGCACAGTGTGAAGGATGAGTGTAAAGTCATACTAGTCAACAGTTTGCCATACCTGCTTGAATCCAAAGGTGAGCTGTCCATAAGGGAATGAGAGATGCAGGTGGGGATAGGCACCCTCACAGCCCCCTTGGACCTTGGTTTTGTTGGGGTTCAGTACAGAGATGCCCCACGCCTGTGAAAGTAAAAGTGTCTGAGACTGTATGTTATGCCATCCAAAATTTTTTGTCCCCTCTATTCTTCCTTCCAAAATGCTTCAGGACTTACCTTTTGTCTGTGTTGTCCTATCCTGTCCTGTCGTCTCCCCCCCCCGCCCCCCCCACCCTACTGCCCCCACTATTTTACCTTTCCTCCACCCTGAGTTGGGTACAGGATTCGAATTTGAATCTGGGCTTGCAGCTGGGCACAGGGCTGGGAAGCATTAGTCCACGTGTAGTTTCCTACAGCCCCCTTGGAGCCAGGGCTGGGACTTGGAGAGGGTGGAGGTGGCCCTGGGTGGGGAGCAATGGTGGAGAATCCTGGGCTAGTAGCAGTGCCATTGCTTGTGGTGGGATAAACTGTGGCATTCCCATGACTGGTGGTGGTAGCTGGGTTTTGAGTGGCAGTTGTAGGTCCAGGGCTGGTAGCAGTGGTGTTGCTTGTTGTATGAGCTGTGCTATTTCCTTGACTGGTGGTGGTGGGCCTCTGGCTCGTAGTAGAACTAGCTGTAGATGTCACCGTGAAGGATGGCAGGAGAGTAGCCGCCTTTCTGTGAGGACAGTCCTTCCCTTTTCCTTGGGCTTTCCGTAAGAAATTGATTAGCAACTCAGAAGCATGTTCCTGCCCAGTTCCCTTCCTTCCCTGTTTCCTTTCTCCTTACCTAGTAGCCCCAGCAAGGCCAGAAAAAGCATAGCCAGCCTCATGGTAGAACTGCTTCACTCCAAGTCCAACTGGGTTATACCAGTTCTAGTTGCTCAACCCTATTCCCAGCCTTCTCTAGGAAGAGGAAATGAGAGTTTTACTTCCCGTAACTAAGATAATCCCACCCCCAACCTGATTCAGACACCTCAGCTCCAGCCACAGGGCCTTCCTTAGTCATCTTTTTGAGACAGGGTCTCCCAGCAGCCCTAGCTGGCCTGCAAGTACGTAGACCAGGCTGGCCTTGACCTCAGATATCTGCCTGCCTCTGCCTCCCTAATGCTGGGACTAAAGGCATGCGTCACCACACCCCACTTAGCCATCCCTTTCACAATTTAGATAATTGGCAGTGGCCTTCTGAGTGGGAGGTCAATTACCATGTGAGTGAATGAGGCAGCTGACTCACAGGGACCTATTTATCTTCTACCTTAGCTAATGAGGTACCCTGAGCTGGGCAGTTAAAGCCAGTAGAGAAATGGCAGGTCCTTTACTCAGTAGTCTCAGAAATGGGTTCATGACAAGGCAGAACTAGGTGGTTTCACTCATGACCCCATTTCTCCCCATTACTTCCTCTTAACAGAGGCATGTGAAGAGTCTCGTGTTCTGTAATCTTCAGCTGAGTGAATGGATCATTTGGTAGTTCTTAGACCATAAATAAGGTAAACTAAAGGGGGAGCTGATACAACCACATAGCAGGTGGTAGAGGGAAGGGGAGGGAAGAAATGAGAAGCCCAAACAGGCAGTTTCCAAGTAATTTTATTCAGAATTTTGTGTGTTTCCTGAATCAATAAATACTATACAAAACAATGTAAAAATGGCTACCATTTTCTCTCCCCTTCTCCCCCCACCTTGGGGACAAATTCCCTGGACAACCTCATCCAGGGGTTCTCCCTGCAGATTTGGTCCAGCAAATGTGGCCACAGCTGAAATGTATTAGCCCCTTGATTTCTGGAGATTTGGCTGAGGTGGGAGAGCCTCTAGGATTAGGGAAATGGTTTAGTGTTTTTTTGAGGAGACGGCGCCTGGGGCAAGAGCCTACCCCAAAGAAAAGGGTGTCTAAAATGTTCACGGTTCCTTCTTTTTGCCTCAAAAAGTGACATTTATTCAGAGAAAAAAAACCAAAAAAAAAAAAAAAAAAACAAAAAACGAAAAAAAAACCAAAAAAAAAAAAAAAAAACCAAAAAGACAAGATGTCCATCCCTTGGCTCCCTTCCCTCCCCCCTCCTAGCTGTTCCTCAGCCCCCAACCAGGATTGAACCCTGGCTAGGTAGGGCCAAGTAGCAGGACAGCCCCTCAAATGAGGTCAGCAACGTTGAGGGGCATCTCTTCGATGGAGGTGTTGTAGAAAGTCTCAATGTCTCGAAGAGTCCTCTTGTCTTCTTCTGTGACCATGTTAATAGCCACTCCCTTACGGCCAAAACGCCCACCGCGGCCAATTCTAAAAACAAAACAAAACACCACCAAGGATGACGAAGTGGGAAAGGGGCAACACAGGCATTTCAGTGCGGTGTTTGGGATTTCAGAGCTGTACTTACCTGTGGATATAGTTCTCCCTGTTGGTGGGAAGGTCATAATTGATGACCAAAGAAACCTGCTGCACATCAATGCCTCTGGCCTGTGTCAAGAAAGATGACAGCCTGTCAGTTGAGGACCCGATCTATCCAGGCTGACTAAACATGCATGTAGGCAGCCAAAGTGAGGCAAAGGTAATATGCATCCTTTGCTCTCCAAAGACCTTAGGCAAGCCAGGTTTTCTTCCAAGTTGCTACGTTCCTGAGAAGGGCATTAGTTGGCCCCTTGGAGAGGGAATCACCTTGGACTTTTCTTTCTCTAGATTACCCTACTCACCAGCAGGTCAGTGGTAATCAATACTCTGCTAGAGCCGGACCGGAATTCCCTCATGATCACATCTCGTTCCTTTTGGTCCATATCTCCATGCTGGAAGACAAAAAAAGAATATGAGTAGCACAGGCAGGTTTCTGGAAGCTCAAATGTCAGATATAGTTACTTGACAAAGGACTGAGAAAACTCACCATGGCAGAAACAGTGAAATCTCGGGCATGCATCTTCTCAGTGAGCCAATCCACCTTCCTTCTGGTGTTGATGAAGATTACTGCCTGGGTGATGGTCAGTGTTTCATATAAGTCGCACAGTGTGTCAAGCTTCCACTCCTGGAAATAGCCGGAAATCAGTCAGGGGCTACACCCAACAAGTTACTACCAGGCCTGCCTCCTGCATTGGGCCCCACCTCTCGTTCCACATTGATGTAGAATTGGCGGATACCCTCCAGAGTCAACTCTTCCTTCTTGACAAGAATTCGAATGGGGTCTCTCATGAACTTCTTGGTCACCTCAAGCACATCAGAAGGCATTGTAGCTGACAACAAAACTACCTAGAGAAAAAATGGATTAGCATTATGTGGAGTGGTGGGTACTTCATATTTGCTTGCCTTCATTCCACAACTGTAATCCAAGTTGATGCTTTAAAAAAGACTTGACATTGGACTACAGGATTCCAAATAGTTCTTCTGGCACTTGATGCTGGTCTTTATCCAATACTCCCATATCACAATAATTATCTCTTGCTGCTTGAGATAGGGTCTCCCTGTAGCCTCAACTGGCCTCTCAGAGATACACCTGCCCCTCCGCCTAAGTGCTGCAATTAAAGGGCCATAATCAGCTATCTTTGGTTTTCTGCAGTTTTTCTTACCTGGGTATTGCTGTTGAGCTTTTGAAATATATCATAAATCTGGTCCTTGAATCCACGGCTTAACATTTCATCGGCCTCATCCAGTACAAACATCTTAATGTATTTGGGAGCTACAGAGCAGAAAAAAAACAACACATAATAATCAGCAAAGAATGTAAAACACACTGAACTTTTCATAAAAGAGGATAGGCAAGGGGCAGTCTGCTCTCAGAATTCAAGGACTGATCCTTTGCCCAAGACCTCCCTGCCAGGCCAGACAACAGCCCTGGGAAGTAGAACACTACCTGGGCTAAGGCAACAGGGAAGCCAGGCTCAGATGACACGCATGGGGTTCATCACAGAGCAACTCAATTCAGAGTAAAGGAAAACTAGCATCCTAGAAATGAGACTTGGCTTAAGATCAAGGTCTGGAAAAGTGATCCAGGGAAATGTTAAACAGTACTCACACAGATATCGCCGGTTAAGCATATCAAACACTCGTCCAGGGGTACCCACAATGATATGGGGAGCTTCCATCTGCAGCTTTTGCACCTCAGCACGCACATTGGTGCCCCCAATGCAAGCATGACAAGAGGCACCCATGTAGTCTCCTAATGCCATGACTACTTTTTGTATCTGAATTCAGAAACATAAATACTTATTAGCATGAACTGTGCCAGACATTTAAAAAAAACCCATTTTATGTGTTTTGCCTACCTGTATGTATACCACATGCCCACTCAGTGCCCTTGGAGGTCAGAAGAGGGCATCTAGTGCCCTGAACTGGATGGAGTTTGACAGTTGTGAGCTATGGGTGCTGGGAACAGAACCTAGGTCCTCTGGTAGAAGCAATAATCCACTCTTAAATGCTGAGCCCACTTTTTTTGAGACAAGATCTCATTATGTCTCCTTGGCTGGCCTCACTTAGGAAATCTGCCTGTTGGGATCAATGGCATGGGCCATCACACCTGGCATTTATTCTTAAACTATGTTTATGTGTGGGGGCTATGTGCATTCGAGTACAGGTGCAGAGGATACAGGCAAATACCCACAAAGCTGGAGTAACGAGGCTGTAAAAGCTGTATGGATGCTGGGACTTGGATTTAGGTCTTCTGTAAGAGCAGTTATGTTCTTAACCACTAAGCCACCCATCTTTCCAGCCCCATTTACCATGTATTCTTTCCAACTCCAGATATGAATTATTCTACTCATTTCTAGTTGAGACAGATGAATTATCTTTCAGACCACCCTGCCACAAATGGCAAAGTTGGGTCCATTCTGGTTCCTGAATACACTAATTCACATTGTTTCCCACTCTAGACAAAACTTGCCAAAATCCAGTTAATTGTGACTCATTTAGCCCTTCTAGGAGCCCATCTTTTGAGACAAGGCTTCCCTATGTAACTCTAAACTGTTTAGAAACAATGATGACCCTGCCTCCTCCTTCCCAAGGGCTGGGATCATGGGTGTGTATTATGATGCCTTGCTACTGGCAGCTAGACTATGATCTGGTAGCATGATGTATCAGTGGCATATTTATTTCACCCCTGATTGCCACAGAACCCAAGCTAGGTGACATTCTTTTGCATGGCTCTGGGGACTGAATCCTGGGCTTTGTGCATGCTGGCCAAGTGGTCTACTACTAAACTAAACACTCATCCCCATGATCACTTTTTATAAATCAGACAAGCACTGCCCGAACATAAAGGGTTTTACAGTAGAATTCTTAACTATTCTCACTTAAACTGGTACCCAGCGAGAATAATCAGTTTGCCATAAATGCTTGTAAGAATTATCTCAATGATTCTATCCCCTCCAACACTCAAGAAAGGGCAGAGTTGCAGCAGAATTGTACCCTAGGCATGAAACAGCTTTGGCCACTGAGCCAGGCATCAAGCTAGGATGAACAAAGGACTACCATCTCCTCTGCCCCTGACTGATTTAAGAACAACACCACCACCAAGGTGTCTCTTTGCCCATTGCCAGGGGGTTTCTTCATAAAACAGCCACCAAACCTGCCCAGCCAGCTGGATTCCACCATCTCCATTTCCACTGGACTCAGGAAATGGGCGAAGGAAGTGGTTGCTTTGGTAGCAAATAGCTTATAATTAACCCAACAAATCTTGACAAATGTAGAAACCATTTACCTGTCCCAGACATTTCTGCCTACCCACAAATTGGTCAGAGAATACACCAGATTTTCCAATTGTGCTTATTCCTAAACCAGCCATTTATGAAAGGAAGGATCTATATACTCTTACCTGCTGAGCCAATTCACGAGTGGGTGCCAGAACCAAAGCCTGAGTGGCCTTTAAATCTAATTCAATCTGCTGCAAAATGGATATGGCAAATGTAGCTGTTTTCCCAGTCCCAGACTGGGCTTGAGCGATCACATCATAACCTAAAGAAACAAATCAAGAATTGTATGTGGCCAG